TGGCAGGTGCTGGCTCAATCATCAATTTTGTGGTGGGTTGAAAGGTTCAGGCCAGCCATTTTATAGTGGCAGCACTTGGAAATCACACAAGTAGCCACACACTATTCCAAAATGGCCCATTGAAACGCCAGGGCTGGCATCAAGGAATGCAAAAGGATGGCAGATGCTGGCTCAATCACCAACTTCATGATGGGTTGAAAGGTTCAGGCCAGCCATTTTATAGTGGCAGCACTTGGAAATCACACAAGTAGCCATACACTATTCCAAAATGGCCCATTGAAAGGCCAGGGCTGGCATCAAGGAATGCAAAAGGATGGCAGATGCTGGCTCAATCACCAACTTCATAGTGGGTTGAAAGGTTCAGGCCAGCCATTTTATAGTGGCAGCACTTGGAAATCACACAAGTAGCCATACACTATTCCAAAATGGCCCATTGAAAGGCCAGGGCTGGCATGAAGGAATGCAAAAGGATGGCAGCTGCTGGCTCAATCACCAATTTTATGGTGGGTTGAAAGGTTCAGGCCAGCCATTTTATAGTGGCAGCACTTGGAAATCACACAAGTAGCCATACACTATTCCAAAATGGCCCATTGAAAGGCCAAGGCTGGCATCAAGGAATGCAAAAGGATGGCAGATGCTGGCTCAATCACCAACTTCATAGTCGGTTGAAAGGTTGAAGCCAGCCTTTTGTGTGGTGGCAGTTGGGCGGCATTGGAACCAAAATGAAGGAATGCAAAGAAATGGTTTGCCCATCTTCCGTGAGCATGTCTTCACATGGTACAGGGCCGGGCTCCCTTTCAGAGGTTGTGCCCCCACCCGAGGTATCTTTGATCAAATGATCAATGGCTGTGGATAAGAACAACCTGGATCATGGCTGCACTGCAAAAACCTGAACAAATCTGGACAAATTTCAGCTACAACCCTGAAATCACTATAAATTGGGGTGAGTGACCCCCAGAAGGAGCGCCGCTGGAGGTGCATAAAACAAAATATAGCAGACCTTGACCCCTGTCATTTTATAGAGGATATGTTCATGGGTATAAAACAACTACAACTACAACTATATGACTGCAACTACACTACACTAATTACATTACACCACAACTACAACTCCACTACGCTACAACTACAACTACAGTTGCAGTACATCACACGACATCCAGCAGTTGTGGGTGAGGTGACCACTGCAACCATTGCAACCACTCCAGCAAACACAACTCCAACCACCTTTCGGTCAATCAGTGGATTCGCTCTGCCATCCCGGATTCACAACAACCAAGCTCTCCTATAGGTTTCCTATTCTGAAACTTCCGCCACCGCCTTGTGCGGTACTACTGGTGGTAGTAGTAGTAGTAGTAGTAGTAGTAGTAGTGGCAGCAGCAGTAGCAGCAGTAGCAGCAGCAGTAATCAGTAGTAGTGGTGGTAGTATTGGTGATTGTAGTTGTAGTAGTAGTAGTAGAAGCAGAAGTACAATAGAAGACTTAGCAGTAGAAGTAGAAGTACAGGTACAAGTAGTTGGGGATCCTGTGCAATTGGGTGAACTTGGGTATCGCTTGGGTATCGCCAAGGCATCGCTATGGTATCGCTAAGACCGACCTGCTTTTTTGCAGAATCAGGCGGGTGCATTATCATTTGCTTGTGAAACTATTCTTTTCCTTTTCCCGTCCTTTTCCTTTGCCTTTTCTGTTATTTTCCTTTCCTTCCCCTTTTTCTGTCCTTTTCCTTTCGTTTCCTTTTTTCGTTTTTCTTTCCCTTTCCTTTTCCGTTCTTTTCTCTTTTCTTTTCTTTTTCTTTCTCTTTCCTTTGCCTTTCTCTTTCCTTTTCCTTTCTGTTTCCTCTTCCTTTTCCTTTCCTGTTTCTTTTTCTGTTCCTGTCCTTTTCCTTTTCTTTTTGTTTTCATTTCCCTGTCCTGTTCCTTTCCTTTTCTTTCAACCCTGAGCCCAAGCCTATCACCAGTGCGAGCACTTGACGAAATCAACACTCATGAAATATAATTATTAACTATTGAATTCAACATGGGGTATCGCTATTTGGAAAGGTCCCATCGCTAACCTGAGTTTTTTGCACTTTCTGAAAACCAATGTCCAGCCAATACATATCTTAGTATCCGCGAGTTTTGACAGTTGCTCATATATGGTAAAGGTATGTAAAGTGGTTGTGTCCACCCGATGTAGATAGAAATGATAGAACTTGTTCATGCTTTCCGGACAGCCTGCAAGCTCTCTGTGCTGTAAGTTTTAGTCTGATATTTATTTGCACAGGTTTCAAACACAGAATAAAGAAAGTCATGCGTAGAGTAGATTTCAACAAAGGCAACATGAGCAAGAGCCCGAGAGAAAAGATCAAGAAGCAGATTGATGACAAACAATAAATGGACTCAGAAACATTGAAATATTTGCCTCTCAACTCGATATCCTGCTTCTTCAATTATTTCATTTTTTTTCCCTGCTCTTGGCCATGGATTTGTATGTGAATGTGTCTTCACCCCAACTTGGGTCACTTTTCCCAGGTCCCTGTAGTTTTTCTTTGTGTTTTAGCTTCGCTTAATGGGTTGCCGGAAAAAATGGTACAGTAGCATATGGTTGCAAATAAATAAGCGAACAAATCAAACAAAACACATTGGTCGACACCGTGTGCAGCGAGGGGAAGAATGTATGGGAAGGCTTGCATTCAAGCATGTGCGCTCTGGTGCTTTCCAGTTTGTTGGGAACTGCAGGAAACATGCGGTGCCTGATCCCTAAAACGAAGGCTTGCTTGCGGGCCGGCGATCTTTTGGCACTGTTGTTGAAATACCTATATATAGTATATAATATAATGTATATAATGTATATAAAGTATATATAAATATACATATACATGAAGTCTTCCAAATTCCTTTACCCGGATTCGGACGAAAATCACTTTCACTGCGTATTTACAGGACTTCACCTTTAACGTTCAGTTGTTCCAACAGACCTCGAACATGAGCGAAGAAAGTTGTGAATGGTTGATTTGCATCAAACTCTTGCAAACGTAGCCAGCGCGCGGCTCTTTTAGCTCGAGCTGCTGGAGCTACTGGAAACACTAACTATCACACCCTGCATGGATCCTTTGTTTGGCATAAGCAGACTCCACGGCCCACATCCCAGTTGCTGCTGCCAGCTGGAAGCAAACAGTGCTCTTGCGTTTTCAAGTACCGTGAGATACCGTGAGTTGACCAACGGGCAACTGCGTCTTCTTGGGGCAATTATCTAGCGCGGATCTAGCGCGGATCTAACGCCAGAACTACGTTTAGCCTAGCCATTAAAACTCGAAAAGCAGTTGTTGTCACATATCTTCACAAGTCACGTTTGTGATGCTGGCCAAAAAGAAGGTGAAGCGGCAATGCAGTTCAAAGAGTTTTATGAACAGTAAGGCTACTGTGGAGTTGCCCAAGCAGGACCGGGAACAACAGGTGCAAGAAAGCAAGAGGGAAAGAAAGCATCGGGCCTGACTATGTTTCACTTGAATGGCTATGTAAAAGTATCTAGCGCCACACTAGCGAGCGCAAATCTAGCGCTAAGCTGCGGGAAAGCGATTTCACTGCATATATACAAGGACTCCGCCATCTAACAAAATCTGAAATACATCCCTGCTCAAGTATTTATATATGTCATTCGGATTTAGAAGTTCCTTATAGGCATTTTAGAGCGGATCTCATATATATATATACATATGTATATGTGGTAATGAAATGATATGATTCACAGAACAACGGCACTCAAACCTTTGCTGTTGAATGCTGTTGAACTAGTGCCCAAAAGGGGCTCGGGGCCGACCTGTGGCCCTTGATATTCCTTGACAGCTTAATTGGCTGGTGGCATACTGTATACTTCATAAATTAAGAACGGAACACACTGTCAGTAACGGACCAGTCAGGTTCTGCCTGCTTACGAAAAGCTGCCAAAACGAAATGAGTCAGACACAGCAAGATACAGCAAGACCATATTATCATTAATCAATTACATATCAGACATATCATTACAATAATATGATGTCAAGCCGATGCCACAAATTTTGATCGAGGTGGGCAAATCACAAGAGCCGGTGCTCGTGCAAATCGACACACCAAAAAAGCCTCCGAAATTGACCAAGCGGTCTGCGATCAGCTCACGTCGAGAGTATTCACGAGCAGGTAGCTGATACCACCTCTGGGTAGGAATTTGCGCAGCAGATGGTATGAATCTGCATGCGACACCCGGCCATTTTGCTGCAGTAAATTGCAAGCCCAAAAGACACTTGGGGCAGCATGGCCAAGTCTGCAGATTTGATTCTTGGAAAGAAACCAGCTACATCCAACACGATCCAAATTTGATCCAAACTTGCCTGATTGTTTCGTAAATCGATTCTCCGCCAAAAATCGAAGGAGCACTGGGACGTTCTTCATGCCTCAGTGTTGCGTCAAGTAGTAAGTAGGGACACAGTTGGACACCAGCCAAAGATCTAGCTGCCTTCAGGGCTCATTTGAGATATCTGCATATGTCTGCATCTATTATGTCAGTAGCTGGAATAGGCGAAGCAAACATCATCAAAAAGTCTACAAAATTCATACGACCCAAACAATGACGACCTCCATGTTTCAATCCACTAGCCACTGTAACCTGATGAACACGAATCGCTCCGACCGCAATCTCTATACACATGCAAAAACATGTTGTTCAGTTGGTGTCAGCACCATGACCGTAAGTCTGAATAGTTCTGGTACAACTGGTGCCTTGGGAGTTTGTCTGTCCATGTCTGTCCACCCTGGTCCCTTGGCAGTGCTGTCCAAGGGACGCTTGACGCCTAGACCTTTCTTGACAGGCAGGATGAAACCACGCAATTTTACGATATATATATATATTGATATATAGATATATATTTTGAATATATTTATACATTTGTGCAAAAATGAATATATGTCTATATAAATGTGTATATATATACTAGACGACGGATGGCCCGAGAGCGTAGAGGAGCAGGGTCTTCTCTTGTTAGTATGGAGACACCATATTAGAAACAATATATTAAAGATGTGTTATATGCAGTCGAGAAGAGGAGTATTAAGACAAAATAGCAGAAGTGCAAGACAATAGTTTGCATCGCAAACACTTTTACACACAAAAAGTTTTTACACACAGACGCTTTTACATACAGACCCTTTTACGCACAGACCCTTTTCCACACAAAGCTTTTACCCACAGAAGCTTTTACATACAGACGCTTTTACACAGACGCTTTTACACACAGACACTTTTACACACAGACACTTTTACACAGACACTTTTACATACAAAGCTTTTGCCCACAGAAGCTTTTACATACAGAAACTTTTACAGACATACACTTTTAACCTCATTAATCCATTCATATCACTTTGGGGGTAAAATTAAGCATGCCTACTAAACATGCCAAGCAAACAAGTCAGGATTGCTTAAAACTTGCCAGCAAGACCTGAACATGACAGGGATGACCGAAAAAGAAACATGCCAAACAAGCAAACATGCACACGAATGTGTCTGCGCAAAAGAAGATCAAGGCACTTTTACACACAGACACTTTTACACACAGGCGCTTTTACAAACAGACAGTTTTACACACAGACGCTTTTACACACTGTTGCTTTTACACAGACGCTTTTACACACAAAGCTTTTACCCACAAAAGCTTTTACAGACAGAAGCTTTTACACAGACGCTTGCACACACACAGACGCTTTCACACACAGACGCTTTTACACACAGACGCTTTTACACACAAACACTTGGACACACAGACACTTTTACACACAGACGCTTTTACACACAGACGCGTTTACACAGACCCTTTTACACACAAAAGCTTTTACACACAGACGCTTTTACACACAAAAGCTTTTACACACAGACGCTTTTACACGCAAACACTTTTACACACAGACACTTTTACACACAGACGCTTTTACACACAGACACTTTTACAAACCACACAGACACTTTTACACACAGACGCTTTTACACACAGACGCTTTTACACACAGACGCGTTTACACACCAACACTTTTACACACAGACGCTTTTACACACAGACGCGTTTACACACTAACACTTTTACACACAGACGCTTTTACACACAGTTACACACAAAAGCTTTTACACACACACACACGCTTTTACACACAAAATCTTTTACACACAGACGCTTTTACACACTAACACTTTTACACACAGACGCTTTTACACACAGTTACACAGAAAAGCTTTTACACACAGACGCTTTTACACACTAACACTTTTACACACAAACGCTTTTACACACAGACGCTTTTACACACAGACGCTTTTACACACACAGACGCGTTTACACACAGACGCTTTTAAACAGAAAAGCTTTTACACACAGACGCTTTTACACACTAAGACGTTTACACACAGACGCTTTTACACACAGACACGTAAAATCGCAATTTTTCCTCAATTTTTGATGATCGACCCTCATTTCGTGCGAAATGGTTGCTCGGGGCCAAGTAAAATCGCAATTTTTCCTCAGTTTTTGACGATCGACCCTCATTTCGTGCGAAAGGGTTGCTCGGGGACAAGTAAACTCGCAATTTTTCCTCAGTTTTCGACGATCGACCCTCATTTCGTGCGAAAGAGTTGCTCGGGGCCAAGTAAACTCGCAATTTTTCCTCAGTTTTTGACGACCGACCCTCGTTTCGTGCGAAAAGGTTGCTCCACGACAAGTAAACTCGCAATGTTTCCTCAGTTTTCGCTGATCGACCCTCATTTCGTGCGAAAGAGTTGCTCGGGGACAAGTAAACTCGCAATTTTTCCTCAGTTTTTGACGATCGACCTTCGTTTCGTGCGAAAGGGTTGCTCCAGGACAAGTAAAATCGCAATTTTTCCTCAGTTTTCGCCGATCGACCCTCATTTCGTGCGAAAGGGTTGCTCCAGGACAAGTAAAATCGCAATTTTACCTCAATTTTCGCCGATCGACCCTCATTTCGTGCGAAAGGGTTCAGGTTTCGTGATTTTCCGCCGGCACCACCCTCGGCCTAAAGAGACAAAGATAAAGAAGGCGAGAGAGATAAAAGGGAAAAAGAAAGGAGAGAGAGAAAGGAGAGAGGAAAGAGGAGAGAGAGTGAGAGAGAGAGAAGATGTGAAGATGAGAAGGTGTGAGGGAAGGTGTGAAGATGAGAAGGTGTGAAGATGAGAAGGTGTGAAAGAAGGTGTGAGAGAAGGTGTGAAGAGGAGCAGATGTGAAGAGGAGCAGATGTGAAGATGAGAAGGTGTGAAGATGAGAAGATGTGAAGATGAGAAGATGTGAAGATGAGCAGATGTGAAGATGAGAAGGTGTGAGAGAAGATGTGAAGATGAGAAGGTGTGAGAAGATGTGAAGATGAGAAGATGTGAAGATGCGCAGATGTGAAGATGAGAAGGTGTGAGAGAAGATGTGAAGATGAGAAGGTGTGAAGATGAGAAGGTGTAAGAGAAGGTGTGAAGATGAGAAGGTGTGAAGATGAGAAGATGAGATACAGACCCCAACTATTGGAAGAACCCTGCGCTCAGATGCTCTCGGGAATATAAAAATGAAAAAATATATATATATAATAAAAATATTTGAATATATTCATATACCTGTAAATATATGTATATATATATATTTATTTATTTACATATTTCTATAAATATAAATGCCTATACATATATATATATATACATATTTATAGTCAATTGTATATTTATATAGTTTTATGTATTTCTATATTTAAATAGCTGTATATACGTATATTTATACGGCAAGGCCCTGAGGTTTGCCCGGACTCGCAGCGAGAGTCCAGGCAAACCAACATGACGATGACGATGACGCTGACCATGATGATGATGACGACGATTATGGCGATGATGATGATGATAATGATGATAATAATGATGATGATGATAATGATGATGACGATAATGATGAAGACGATGATGATGATGATAATGATGATGATAATGATAATGATGATGATAATGATGAAGATTTTGGTATCTTCTTGAAACCTTTTAAGAATCCGTAGTGACTGTATGGTTTTAATTGTTCCATGGGGCCGGGGGAATTTGATATCTTCTTGAAACCCTATATATAAGAATTCCTAATGACTGTATGGCTAAAATTCCATATGATATGTAGAAGCGACGTGTTCTAGTTTTATGATTTGTAGAATCTCAGAAGCAACATGTTTTGGTTAACACCCTAGCAACATAATTGACCATAAAATCCTTCCCAGTGTTTGGCCTCTTTTAACCTCGTACAGAACTCCCTGGTATTTACGCAATTCTGGGTTTGGGCAAACCTCGAGGTCTGTGTGTACTTACATATGTATATATATATAGTTCTATTTATATATTTAGTTCTATTTATATATATTTATATTTCTTTTCAAATATCTATATTTATATATGTTTGAATGTGTTTATATATATCTATATATATATATAAATATTTAAACATGTTTTTATGTATAGTTATATATATATATATATTTATATATTCAAATAAACTTATTTACATATACATACTCATTATATTTATATATGCATATTTGTATATATTTTTCATATATATATATATGTAAATATATTGATGTATATATTTATTTATTTATTTATTTATATTTATGCATATATATATATATGTTTATATGTTTATGTATATGTATATATATATGTTTCTATATATATATATGTATATGTTTTTATATGTTTATGCATGTATATATATATATATGCTCACCCCCACCAGAGCCTACCTTTTTTCCTATTACATTGACTGTTTCATTGCGAGGTCAACCATCTGCTATCTGCTGTCTGCCAAAAAAAAAAAAAACAATGCATTGGAGAGCCTTCTCCCCTTCCCCATCCCAAAGTAGGTCTCCCAAAACTTTGTTTTTTTTGTGTTTGTTTTTTTCTTTTCTTGGTATCCCTCCCCTTCCAAAGCCCAACCCAAAACAAGTCATCCAAAATGTGTGTATGTTTATTCTTTCTGGTGTGGGGGAGAGCTGGTGAGCTAATATTTTTTAAAAAAATATATGCATCGCTATTTGGGTGGTTTAAGCACTCTAAATTTGATCTCCATTAGACTAGAAAGGCTTGTGGCAAACTTTGGAGTCTGTGAAGAGACTATTTTATTGTTTCCATGTGATTGTGTTGCAGTACTACCGAATTCCATTGAAAGAAGTAAGCCACTTTTGCTATCAAGGGAAGGCAGCCCCCTGATTTGTTGAACAGGGTATTGGCATGTTCAATGAAATGGTTACCTTTGATACAGTGCCATCGATGCATTCCGCGCTGGGCCAGCAAAAGTCCACCAAATAACCTGATGCTTATATGTTGTTTGTAGCCAGCTGGTCTCACACTAATGCCTTGCCATGGTACAGTCTGTCATCGTTAATAGATGCCAATAGTGGAAGCACATATAATGTTTGATTGTTTTTTCTAATCAATAGTGTAATACATAATATGTTGAATGTGTTTGAGCTGCGCAGCAGTTGACCCAAGAAAATGCAACACATTAAGCTAAAGGCAAAATTGCAAACAATATCAGGCAATGCGGATTTTTGTCCACCTGCTTTCATTGCCCAAAACAGAAATATGCATATAGTCTATTAAGTTTTGTGCCTGTGCTACATTCCCAGCTGCTTTGAAGAAATGAGGTTCTTCAAAGAAGTGCAGTTTTCTTTACAAAGCATCCGCTTCAACCAAAAAAAGTTTCTGTCATTTAAAGGCTGGTGGTTGCTTTTGAGCTAGTCAAATGTTTTTTCAGGAAGAAATATCTTTGTGAAGGTTGGGTTTTTTTAAATAGAAGAACAATATTTGTTATCTACAATGTGTAGTGTGTTCTAAAGTGCGGTATTCCTGTCTTATTCCTCTATCATGGTAACATTCCTTCAGGCAGATTGAATACTTAACTTGAAATTGCAATCGTATTTAAACAGTTTAGTTTCAACAAGAGAAACAATATTGTGTCAACATATGCAATGTATCCTCCAAAGATATATCATTCCCCTCAAAGAAGCTCAGCTGGCCTTTATGTTTGAAAGTAGCACAAAAACGAAAATTGAATCAGCTGCTTCTTTTGAAAGTTACACCATGTTTTCAACCCCATTTCTTTGGAAATATGTAGCACCCCTTTCAAAGAACTCCAGCTGCGCTGTATATACTGGGACAGGAACACCATTTATTTGAAGGAAAGGTTTCCCTCACCCAAAAACATAATTTACGAACGCCATTTTGAAGGAAAGGCTTCCCTCACCAAAAAACATAATTTCACATCCCCAAAGGCTTCACACCTGAAAAGAAGAATTGCACATCCCCAAGGAATACCACGCATGTTTAGCATGGCATACAAGACTTTTTTTCTAATAATGACTTGACAAGAATGCCTTGGGGGCAAAATTAATCAGATTTGGTTCCGATTAATCTGGATTAATCTGAATTGATCTTAAGGAACCAAACGCCCAAAGAATTGGTAGTATATAAATCACACAAAAAGCTGGACAGAAAAATAATTGTTTCTTTACTGCAAATTCCGCCAAAAAAGGCTCAAGGTAGGCCCTGGTTGGGGGGCTGCCCATATTTATACATACATATATATATATATTGCTATACCCCTTTAATTAATGCTTATAACTAAACTTTAAAGCGTGGCAAACCTGCAGGCCAAAGGGGGCGGCAACGCCTGCGGCAGAAATTTAGAAATTGTGGGTCAAAATAGCGGGCCACCCTCCAGCCATTTTTCCCCGAACTAACTCTTGCAGCTCCCCCAGGCCCATCCCCAACCGTTTCCATCCAGGTTCTCCCAGGAAATTAGTGATTTCCTGCGATTTCGTGGGGGTTCCGGAATATTTTGATATGTATCCTGCACCATTCAGAAACCCTCAAAAATAAAAAACCAGGCCCCAGAATCCTGATTTATATTGTATGCATTAAAGGGGGTTATCAATATTATATATAATTATATTTATTTATTTATCTATAATTTATACATATATATATATATATATTATATTGCCTTCATATTCTGGACCTTGAAGCATTAAGAAGCAAACACAATTCTTGAGTTTGAGTACTCACAACTTGTCCATGTTTTTTTGCAGCGCTCTTAATTCAATTAATTATGCAATAACTAGTAACTAGACTAGTTGCTCATTAGATGAGACTGTTGTGAGACCGCTGGTAATATTCAGATACAAGTGACAAGTTGCAACTACAATTTGACATAAATTGACTAATTACAATGTAAGACTGTTAAGAGTCTTCGAACCTTCTAGGGCCAACATCGGGAGCCTTGGCAAAATTCCAAATCGAACGTGGTTGAGTCCCCATGCTTTGGCTCCAGTGAACACACACAGTGGTCTGACGAACGTCACACTGCTGCCAAAGCAACGCAAAGTTGTCCACAAAAACCTGAGCTCGCGACAAATCGAGCATTACAAGCCATTGGAACTCGCGTTGCGTACAATATATTAATGCACAGAATATAGCAATGCATTGTATGACATTGAAGTTTTTGCGTGGAAACAGCAGCGATTGACCCTGAAAACAGCAGGCCCCACTTTTTTCGTTGGATGAACATTACCTGGAACGATGATAAAATTGACGCGGCCCAAAATGGCCCTAGCTCGATTCAGCTCGATGACAAGATCAAACCTTTACAGGCTCGACTTTCTAGTTAACAACTTCTCCTGAGTCCATGTCCTGGCATGTCCTGCCCCCACTGTCCTCTATCATGGTCATTTCATGTGATAGTCGATGTCCCGTGAAGCTTCTCTGCCATTTAATACTGAATTGCGGTGTCATGCGCTGTAGCTTGCCCTCTGTCATAGCCAAAGCTGCTGGGTCCAACTGCAAGAGCGAGACAGCAAGCCTTGGTGCTTCAGCATCCGTCAAATTGGATCTATCGGATTTATCCGTTGCGTGGATCAATGAATGCACCATGGCGGACACAAAGACAAGTAGGAAAGAAGTACAATCATATGAAATCCTGCTGCAAGTGTACTTAATAGGTACATTTAACCTTCGGTGTTTCAGGCAATGATTGAGCCTAGCCGGATAATCAGCCACCATCATCCGACTAAACCCAGGTGTTTGGACCCTTTCCAAAGTCTGCAAAAAAAACTCATCCCCTGAGCATCAACATGCATCAAAACAGCTTGTTGCTGAGCTGAGTCACACCAAAACAAGGGCTGCGTGACGTGTCCTGCCGGCTTCGGAAGCAAGAGCTGCTGGTTGGTTTGTCAGGGGTCACCAAACATATTAGGTAAAAAGTTCTGAAGCTTACGACAAGTGGTCAGTAAATGATAGGGCCACATCACACCCGGGGCAGGAACCTCTTTGGGGATCTTGGGACCGAATACCAAGAGTTTTTGTCACATCGGCTGGTTTGCTGACACAATAGGCCGAAACAAAGCTGCCTGATGACTCAATCCATTCAAGTGTTGCGAGTTCAAAACTCTAATTGACAAGATCTAAAGTGTAACACATTTCTGTTGTGGCAGGTCATGTGGTGGCATGTGGTGGCATGTTGTGGCACAACTTGCAAGCCCGTAGATGATTTTTGGCAGCCAAACTTGTTACGCATGTTCCAGGAAAACTTTCAAGTGGTCATCATACTGATTATTCTGTGATATTCTGTGCATTTCGTTGGTGTTGTTTTGCTTATGTTAGCGCCACCGACATTGCATGCAACATGTTCCTTGAAATATGTATGCTCCCAAAACTATCCAAAACTAATTAACGTATATAGGCTTTGCATATGCTAAGAAAGTAGGTCATGTAGAAAGTCATCAGTACAGCATGGTGCAGCAGTCCATGCCAAGTTAGAGGGTTGTACAAGCTATGAAATTTATGAAAGTCTTGCACACCAGTCCCCGGAAAGTGCCTGCTTCGATTTACCTGAGTTGCTAGTTGATCGGGTTGACTAAGCACAGCAAATTTCATCTTTTCTGGAACTGTCATGGGAGCAAGGCCTGGGACTTGGGTGTTCACGTCGCTTCGCGACGGCAACCGCCCGCACCGCATCGTTGGGCAGCCGCTCGTAACTGCCAATGATGTCGGCCATTGAGACCAAAAACATCCGAAAGTACTGATTGTCGGGAAAAAAAACGCGAAGAATTTGATAGCCATGTATAGCGGACCAACGCAGTTCAAAAAATAACGAAAAACATGAAAAAACGGCGAAATTGCTGTTATTTACAGTGTTTTTGCGCGGTGAGAAGCAGAAACCACTGCAAATACCATGGTTTTTGAGGGTCAGGTGGCCAAAAACACTGTAATTTACAGTGTTTTTTTAAACCAACGTCAAAAAACACTGGTATTTACGATGTTTTCATTCACACCGTAACATAAAACAGCGTAATTTACGAGGTTTTTGGAAGTTTTGAAGCTAGCCGTCAAGCATGCAGAAAACAGAAAAACACTGTAAAAACCAGTGTTTCTGCTATCACAAAACGACGAAAATCAGTCCGAAAACGGGTCCAAAAACTCAAAAATCCGCCTCCGGGCCCGGCCACCTGCGGAACCGCAAAAAAAGATGTTGCAAACCAAAAAATTGAGGTCAAAAAGTTGAAAAACACAGGGTTTTTTCACTTTTCGCTTGCCGATTTTGGACGGGCGCGTTCACGAACAGGTGTCTTCCGTACTGTTTTTTACAGTGTTTTTTGAAGGCGAGCGTCACGACCTATCAAAAACAGGAGGTTTTGGCCGAAAAATGCCCCCCCCCCCCCAGGTAAACCTGTAACCTTTTACGAGTGCCATCCGGAAGATCACGCCCCAGCACCTTCGGTGCGGGCGGATTTCTCAGATAATTAATGGACTTTCCTGGGCAAAATCAACCAGCAGCAATCAGCAGCACACCCATGGGTAACCCTGGGACGCAATACAAATTTAAAACTGCACTCGATTCAACATAGATCTCCTCGCCACAGTGTAGTTGAAGCCGTTCCATTAATCATTCTTGATATGTCTTGCTCATTGTGTTCGTGTCACGGTTTGCCTTGTCTGCATGAAACCTCATGAAACATCATGTATGTAACATCATTTAATTGCATGTTACCTTGCGAAACATCTTGGCAGATCTTGCCATGGTGCAACTGGTCTTGAGGCAGCAATGTGCGCTGCAATGGTCATGGCACGGAGCAGCCGAAAATGAATCAGTGGAAGGTCCACGAGCGAAACGGCAATTGGAACACAGGGCAGTTGCGGATTTGTCCAAAACAATGGTGTTGATATATATGATATATATAATATATGATATATGTAATGATACGGAATTGCACTGATACAGCCGAAGCATGGTGATGGAACGTTGTGCCGATCATGATGATGACAATAGTGGACAGTGGAAAACAGCTGCGGTTTGGCAAGGGCGAAAATATTGGATAGACTGAGAACAGCGTCGGATGTACTAGTATGTATGTCATAGCTGGTGTGTGAACAGCAGTCACCCTATGTCAAATTGTAACATACACGTTCTTTCTCGCAGCAGCACAAAAAGATTTGCCTTCCAATCCGGCAAACCACCATCTCAAATCATATCACGCTCAAATCTAGAAATCGAGGACCCAGGATCATCGCAGTCGCAGCTCAACCGGCCTCGAAGCACAAGTTCTTGATCTCCCTGTCTCACAGCAAGTTGGTGACATGATACAGCATGTTGGCATCAACATGTTTCACATGTTTCACCTTGGAAGAAAATATTGTATAAATGGATGCCAAATATAGCATGCCGGCCATTGACATACAGGAGCTAAGCCATCCAACAATGAACATTGCATAGGCTGGCATCAAAGTTTGTGGCATTGGAAGGCATCTTGGCTGAGGCAATTGACCCTATCCACTGCCGCATGCTCTTGCTACCATATTCCTCAGCCTTGCAATTCCCATTTCAGCTTAGTTTAACCACAGAACCCAGCAATCAAACGATAGACCTCTGCATTCTCCAGCCCCACAGTACACTCTGAGGAATAGTGCAGATTTGTGATGCAATCTTGCAATTGTTGCGTTCAGTCAGGAGTGAGGGATAAAAAAAAAACTATATTCCAGATCAAAAAGAAAGTAAAACACTGGTATCAACAATAGATTTTGATGGTGGATTAGATTTATATAACATTGTTTTGATCCAGAATAATTTGTTGTGATCTGGCAACAGGGGGATCGAAATGCTCCAGACATCCAAAAAAAATATGCCAGACAGAAATAGGTGTTTTGATGTTTGGTCTAGATCGCGACTTGGAGCAGCTATCCCAAATATGATTCCATTTAGGGCTGGTTTAGGATTCATTGATGGTTGTTTCAGGGTCTATTTGGGGTCTGTTTAAAGTTTGTTTAGGGTTGCTTTAGGTTTGGATTTGGATTAGAGTTTACTTTGGGATACACGCAGGTAAAGAGCAATAAATATGTATGGATGGATGGATGGAAGGATGGAAGGATGTATGGATGCATGCATGCATGTATATATGTACGTATGTACATACGTATGGATGTATGATTATGTATGCACGTATGGATGGATGCATGCACGCACGTACGTACGTACGTATCTACGTATCTATGTGTCTATGTATTGATGTATCGATGTATCTATGTATCTATCTATCCATCCGTCCATCCATCTATCTATGGATCTATGCGTCTATGTATCTATCTATCTATCTATCCATCCATCCATCCATCCATCCATCCATCCATCCATCCAAGTATCTATGTATCTATGCTACTATACTACTATGCTGCTCTGCTGCTCTGCTGCTCTGCTCTGCTCCGCTCCGCTCCGCTCAGCTCCGCTCCGCTCCGCTCCGCTATGCTATGCTATGCATGTATGTATGCAGTAGATATATATTATAATATATTATACGTATACATATATATATATATATTATATATAATGATATAATATGATCATATATAATTACATGTAGAGTAGTGCATTTGCAAGTGTGCAAGCTTAGATTTGAGCAAAAAAAGGAGGGGATTGGGGGGGCCAAAACAGAATGACAATACCTATCCGATCTATCCCCGAAATGTAATGCTGTAGCTTGAATATCGAACTCATGCATAGTATAGTCTTTGTTTTGCACAATAGTTGCAGCAGACTGCCAAGAAACCACACAAGGCAAAAACAAAAGCCAAAAGCAAAGAAGCCAAAAAAGCCGACAAGACAAAACTGACAAAAGTCATACCTTCCTTCCATCCTTCCTTCCTTCCTGCCTTTTTTGCTGTTATTTTTATAGTGTCCTCCAAGAAGATAGAAAAGTTTTCTCATGATGTTACGTCCTGAAAACCGACGGGATTTATTTTTGTTTGATCCGGATTTTTTTTGATCCAGAAAAGACTATTGAATTGTTTGACCCCTATCTCTTTAGTCAGAGTGACACTTGCTGAATTGATGGCACAAATAGTCAAAATCCCAACCAGTCTGGTTAAGTACAAATCTGGCAGATCAATACAACTCTATCAACTCTTCTTCAAAGTACTCAAACCGCTGTCCATACTCAGGGGGAACAAACGCAGGGCCCGCTTTCAGCATCAATATTACAATATTACAGTAGGATACACTAGGCTGGATGCTTTAGTCTATCAGATTTGACACATTTTGACAAGTGATCCAACATGATCCAACGTCGCTGTCACAGCTCCGCAACCGCAGCCCGCTCCTGATGCTTGCTCCAAGGTCTGCGACCCCTGGAGCGATGCAGGTGATGCAGCTGAGGGATCGATGTTAAAAAAAGAAAGCCATGGAGGGCAATGGCAAGCCAAAACCTCAGATCTCAGAGACGTGCTTCATGATGTTCATGATTTTTCATGTTTTTTTTCGTTGTTTTAGTAGAAACCGCTTGAAGCTGGAATAGCGGTCCGAATTATATATGTCTAGCTTGCTTTGGAAGCTAGATTCGTGTGGGCACAAAGGCAAGCACCCACTCATTGAGTGACCGAAAACCGGGGCGGCTAATTTCACCCCATTTCTCTCAACACCTGCCCACCATCCGAGGGATGTGCTCATTTCATACTTCACAGTGAGTGTTGACTTGGTATACTAAAGTGGTCTGATAAAAGTACATTTTTTCATTTTATCTAATTTTTGGGTATTGATCAAGGGTATGGATCAAGGGTATCGATCATATCATAATATCGAAACAACCATCATCAACCATCAAACAACCATCAACATTCATCAACTTTCATCATCAACATCCGTTGCCCTCGTCGATCGTCCAAGCGGCCTGGAGCCTAGCAAAGTCACTGCCAAGCTGTACACGCGGCTCGCCTGGCAAAGGCGTATCAACTGGTTGCTATGGTGTATCATGGTGTATCTAGCTATCAGGTTTGCAACAAATGTAGCAACCAGTTTTGACACAGTTTCAGTATATCTCGGTAGGAACATGGAAGTTTTGAAGTTTGGAATAGGTGCGAAATGATTTCATGAATAGTTTGGATGTGTTTGGATCTAGATGATGCCATCAACTCTTTAAACTGCTCCAGCAAAACGCTCGTCGGTGCAGGCCGCCGCAGTAGGGTGGGAGGTGACCACTGCGCGTGCGCGACCAACCTGACTCTGCGATCCGCACAGGGTCCATGTATTTGATTGTACTTGATTGTATTTTTATGATTTTTTATGTATTTGCATGCATGTGTGCTGTCCTCCGAACGCTCACTGGAAGGCTTCTGCTATTCGATGAACGCCGTGGACCATTTTTACATATTTTTACCGGGCTTGGTTTGGTTGCGGAATCTGAAGACATCATCTGTGTGCAGCTCCTTCTGCTGTTCCTTCACTGAGAGAACCCTGCTCCATCCTGGCCTTCTCTGTGGTTTTGGTCCTGAATGCTCCAACAAACACCTGAAAGCTGCGACTGGCACCGTTCTGTCAACTCGGTGCAAAGTGATGTTTGGAAGCGCAGAGAATAAACACACTTGATGACTCAATTGACTCCCTTCATCATGAACCAACATGGTTTTCGTATGTTTTCCATTTTTCCATTGTTTTCAATTGTGTTCCTGCTCGGTACCGATCTTGGCATCCCCACGCCGACACGCGGCGGTTGGTACTCCATGAGCTTCGCAACTTCTCCATCTTCGTGACCTTTGTAGGCCAGGAGAATCAGCTAGTTCTGCATTGACAAGCCTACCATGGTGTGGCGTAAACCCATGCATACTCGAGCTGACATGCTAACAAATGTCTCAGGTGAGATGGTAGGTTTGCAAGAACCAAGGGAATGTCGAAAGATCTCAAGAGGCGTCTACCAAACTAGCTGGGCGCCCTCTTCCGGGTGTTGCATGTATACAGTAATTATATAACACTGACTTATACTGACCTGGTCACATCTAAAGAAAATGGTTCAGTCGCTTGTATCTGTTCAAGTCCTCTATGATTCTATGATCGCATATCGAGAAAAGATCAAATATCACTAATACTTCAGTACATAGTTAACTATAACTGTTTATATACATATCATATATACGGATAAGTGCTTCTTGCCTTCATGAGCAATGCCTCATGCAGTGCATTGAAATGAAGGTCTGCTCCAGGCATGCCCACGAGACTTGTCTTCTTCGAACAACTCCTCTTGACGCAATGCATAAACCCAGAAGCATACGCAAGTGGTGGAAGTGACAGGCTTGAGCAAAATCTATCGAAGATCTGGTCTGACTTTGAAACCTTTGAATTCTTCCATGCATTCCAATCATTCGATATTATTCTCTATCATGATTTTTATACATGTATTAATTATCAAATATTATCAATTATCTTGTATTTACACATGTATTCACATAGTGTGATACAGTATGATCAGTATGTCTACTTGTGTATGTTTCTCTGGAACGAATGTAATGGCAGGGGGAACTGTGACCATTGACAAGAAACAGGATGAAACAATGCGCAATGGCCAGTGAAGCTAAGCTAACTGAGCCCATCCCAGTTTCTGTGAGAAGCTGACACTGCTGGCTGTGTTGCAAAGGAATCTGAAGATCGCAGTGAACGTATTCACGAGGAAAATTTACACCGGCATAGACCCCAGATAGCATTGGGGAAGACAAGGCGGCAGCGGCAAATTTGTCGGGTAATCCCATTTGAACAGGAAGCAAAAATCTCTACTGCTTAAGCTATCTTGGGAAAAAATAGTTTAGCAAAGAGTTCTTGAATGATCCTCGCTGCAAATGCAGATTGTTGATGATTGCCTAAAACATCTAAAACCCTCCAGTAACGGATAGCAAATAGTAGCAAATAGTAGTACCAAGAAGCCGATTGGGCCTAGCAACGCAGCACTGAATCCGATTTGATCCGAGGCAAGAAGATCCTCTGGCTGGAAGCTTGCATCCTCGATGAGGAGCTCCTGGCATCGCTGTCACTCTCTTTCGATGACGGCTCCGGTTCCAGCTCGTTCCAGCTCATAAGAAATCTGTGGAAATGGAAATCTACGCAAATGCCTAGAAATATCTAGAAGCATTTAGTTTTTTTTGAAATGTCTAGATGTGTCATGAAATAAGTGGAACTCTCATGATCAGCCATGATCAGCCCTCCTCCGAGAGAATGAAGGCTGACAAGAGCACCACGCAGGTGAGCAACAGGAGCTTTGACCTGATGACCAGCAGAAAGACAGAGAAAGACAGAGATAGACAGAGGCTCCTTGACTCTCTGTATTTATAGTATACCCTCAGTATTTTATGTATTTTATAGTGTCTTCTGCCGAATGTAAGCGTTGAGGTAGTATGTTATGAGGTAGCATATGTTACATTCCAACATATTCCAACATATATACTTTACTGTCATGCTATAAAATACTATAAAATGTTCCCTTTACAGGCAGCAACATCAGCAAAGTGTGACGGTTGTTGTCCTGAGGCCGAAGGGTGTGTTGCACACACCGGTTCGGCAAGTACAAAAGATCTGGTCGATACAGTTATATACATATATAAGCTATCTAATGTATATATATATTATAATATAAAATATAAAATATAAAATATATAATATATAATATATAATATATGATATATGATATATAATATATAATATACAGTATATAACATATAATATATAATATATAATATATAATATATAATATATAATATATAATATATAATATAATATATATATATTATATATAATATAATATAATATAATATAATATAATATAATATAATATATATATACAGGTACTTGGCTGATATACGTGTCCGCAATGAGGGAAGTTGCTGGCTTTTCCAAACAGCAATTATCAAAATTATCAAAGACCTACTGTGGGCCACGCCGGCGGTTTTTCGGTGGCTGTATGCACTCCTGCCTGGAGATGTTAGTTGACATGTTCTCTGGAGTTGTCTTGGTCTCAGCCAGGCACCGAAATTGCATCCCATCGGACTCTGCTCATGGCCTGTCGCTTCACAGTCCACCGTTGCAGGGATGAGAAAAACACAGAGATTAAATTAGAACAATTAGATACAATATGATACAATATGATACAATTAGACCAAATGACATTAGAATACATTAGATTGAAGTCTTCTCACCTGAGGCCAACCATGTCAAACCCAAGATGCAGCGCCAGCATCGCTCTTCGGCCTTCTCATGACATACGGACGAGATCTACAAGGAGACAACGACCCCTTCGTCTCACGGCTGTCCAGTTGGGGTCAGGTTGCTGGGTTGTTTTGGTTGTTTTCTGATGGAAAGAAAACAGGAATTGAAAGCAGCCTTGGAGTGCATCTGTGTCAGTTTCTTGTGCAAAAGCCCTTATCTGTGCAGATTTGCACAGCTACTCAAAACGTAAACATGGCTGAAGGATGCTGAAGTGCCGTCCGCTTACCTCGTTGCAACCTGGAAAAACGTTGTTTGGTCAATGTCAATTCCATCTGTTCTATGAGATGTGCTTGCTCAGCTTGAGTTTATTCTCCGCCAATGTCGGGAATTTGTGTGGTGTTTTCATGATCTGAAAGCTGCCGCATGGATCATGTCATGTAGACATGATTGACATGATAGAGTTGGATATATTTAGAATGGAACAAAAATTGAACAAGCATGTTGAACATTTTGCGAAATAAAAAGGGAACATTATGAACATGATAGGGTAAAACCGCACGCTGTCAGACCAAAGGCAAAACATTTACGAGTACCATCGAGTACCTTCAGAAGCCCATTGATTTTTTGAACACCGCTGCAAACTGACTATCCAATCATGTGCACACATCTTGTCTTGGATCTGTGATGACTCACGCACTGTTACCGGTGACTTTTGTGACACGTGTGCGGACATCTCCAGCTTTCAAGTTTCAACTCTTCTCCTGACATTGAATGAACTGAAGGTTGGAGCAGCTTCATCGCATATCGCGTAGGGAATCGAATCACGACAGCCCTAGCCATGGATCCCAACATGTTCCACAACAATTCACGTTCACAGCACTCCTCCAGGGCTTCCAAAAGCTGTTTTCGGGCTTCAGCAGCGTTAGCTTCTTTGATGCTGGCCTCACCAAATCACGACTTTGACCGCTTGAAGTATGCTCAGAGATCCTCGCATCGATGATGCTTTTATATGATTTATATGTGCTTTTATTAGCTCACGCACATCTTTACGTGATTTTGCCTAGTTTCTTGCATGTTGCAGCATTGGCTCAGACTTGTCCGTGGACTCACGGAAAATGTACACTCACGAATAGTACCAACCCATTCCATCCTATTCCATCGCGGTCAACATTTCCCAACCTCTTCCTCCGCTTTGGCTTTGGCCGCAGCTTCAGCTTGTTTTTGCTCCTCAATGGATGAGAAATTTTGACCTGGTTTCCGCATCTTCCTCTGACCTTACCGGTTGGAAACCTGTTTCTGGCATTACATTGCGAAGTGCATTGAAATGCCGTCAGACTTTCATTTGCATCCACTTGGATTGCAGCCTTGTGCACTTAAACATCACCACAGCTTGCCCATGAACAGCAGTGACCAAGTCTAGAAGCAAACGATTCCTGTTTGAAATGAGTCCGAATGTAGCTTCACCTTGAGATAAAATTGCCAAAATGATGACAATGAATGGCCCACAAATTCTCTTCAGTGCCAGCCGTTCCCGTTTGACCATTTTGACCTGCTGCTTTGTGAGCAACCCTCCATGCTGGGCAGCCACCGCACCTCGCTCTTGGCAGCTTCAGCCTTTGCCGCCATGGCATCGGCCTCCAGAGGGAGGCAAGGCCCTCGAATTGATGGCAGGTGCAATATATGACTCAAGATGATTCCACCAAAGCAATACAAAGACATACAACAGCAATAGTGACAACATGTTGACAACACGTGACAACCATTGACAACCGTGACAACCTCTATAGGTCTCTATAGATTTGGTATCGACTCCTAGTTTCCACATGTTGGTGCAAAGTTTTGCGACAGAGGGCATTCGAGAACCCAGGCCTCCTGCTGGGCCTTCAATGCAATCTTTAAGTGTCGTCGAAACCTCAAGGGAGGTCACATAGATCAATTCAGATTGACAGAACCGAGCTCTGCTCACTCACTCACTCACTCACGGGGCGGCGCGTGGACAAAAATATGTGATGAATATCAGAATCCAAATATCAGAAAAATATCAGAATCTGCAAATATGATAAAATCCTTTCAATTCAACGAAACTCCTGCAAGATTTTGTTGAAATCCCTAATCCTTTTCACATCTTGTGTAGCATGCAGGCTCAAGGATTTCTATGTCCCAGTGTCTCCCAATGACTTCACTCGAAATGCTTCATGTGGCTGAAGTTGAATCGCGCAACCTACCAGGACCAGTACGTACCAGTGCTGCGTAGAGTGCGTGCTTGCACCACGTCAATTTGCGATATAGGTCACACACATTTGTAATCATTTGTATACATATTTGTACACAATCTAATGGCCTGCTCAGCTATGAAAAACTGGGACCCGCTTGAAGGCTGTGCACACTTTAGCTCCTCCCTCGCTGTGATTCATGCGCATTGGCTGAGATCCCCTACTCCACTGCAGTTTGTGCTGAGAGTGGCAACGAACTGCACGGTGCTAATCAAAAAGAGTTTGGCTTCCTCATCATCTCTTTTTAAAAGAGTCATGTCCCTTGCACAGCATGCCACGGTTTTTGTGTGCATGGGGCCAAAGTCTGGAGGTCTCGACTCAAGACAGCCCCTTGAATCCCCTTGATCTTTAGTGCCAGCCATGTTAGATCATTTTGGAGCAGCATTCAACTCAATGCCTGTCAGACAGCAGCTGGTCATCCTCTGCCACGGTTGTCTCCGCCTTTGTCACGCTTGACGGGCAAGGACTCACAAAGCTACTAGGCGAATCAATGCGGCCAGTGATGAAGAAGGGACTCCTCATGGAGTTGTCACTCAAATTTGAGGAATCAAAGGGAGGGTGCTGCAAAGGTAGTAGCGCAGATGACCGGCTGCTAGTGAACATGAGCGCACACCATTAAAAGAAAATATACAATGGAGATAATGGAGTGTCTCAGAGCAGGACCAAGCTTTCACGAATCCTCTCGGCATCGGTCTTCACCAACCATCTGAGCGAACACGAAAGGCATCGAAAGGCACCATGACAGACAGCTGAACATCAGGCTGCTGATCCAGGAACATCAAGAAATTTACGAAGTGACTGCGAGGCAAAAGAACATGTCGATCATGTCGAATGCTGATGAAAATAAAGTCGATAGATGTCGATAGAATCTTGTAGCTAGCTAATTTAAAGGCAACAATGGATTTTCACCTGCAAATGTGTAATTACAGCACTCATCCTGAGAGCACACAAAAACAATCAAAAACACATGTCCCATCTTGAGTAGAGATTGAAAAAACTGAAAGAGGAAAATGACAACAGCTGCGTTCATACTGGTGGTCGTATGGCTGAATCTGTTTGGCAAACTCTCAACGGAAAATCGACTCTAAGTTCCATGAAGGAATTCGTTGCGTAAAGACTTGCTGAGAACCTCGCTTGCCATCCACCATGGTCGTGCCCATGCAGTCCTCATGCGTCAGAAACTTGCGTAAGTTTATACAGAACATCGACCTTTAAAACTCCCACGTACAGACCACTTTTTCGGAATCCGTTCTTTTCTAAGGCAGCTTCAAGCTGCAGCAATCAAGAGAGTACCAGGCTGGAATGGCAGTAGGAATAGTATGGAATAGTGCTGAGTCAAATCGGTACAGTTTTGAAAGGTGCGTAGTTGGAGATCACGCTAAAAGACTCAGAGGTGCCGTTTGGATTTGCTATGATTTGCTTAAAACACCATGAAACGCCGCCGAAATGGGACTAAGCGTTTGTCAGGTAGTGTGCTCTTCGGTGTAAGAGAAGAGCGAACTCGCCAGCCAAGTTGCATCCACGAAGCCATATCTCATCAAGTACTGTGCATTGGTAAGGGCCTTAGGCACTCACGAAGTCTTTCAAGACTCTCCGGTTTGTCTGCCTGCCTTTCTAGATGTTGCATTTCTAGAACACAGTTCCCACCTGCCGAAGTTCACCAGGATGATTGCACAGAAATTTGCTATCAGCCATGTCCAATGCATGTCGCACGGCGCACAGCATGCAATAGCTGCGTATCTTGTTGCTTTTATGCCCAGGTTGCTCGGAACAGAACTCCAAACCACAAAATCTCTAGCAAGGCCTCATAGTATGAGTTAAAACGGGATGATATTGAACCAAAGAGGGGAAATTGAGTGTAAATACTGTATATTATATGTATATTATATTTTTTTATTTATGTATTTATTTATAGTTAAATTTAATAAATACATACTGTACAATACATTATACAATATATATATATATAACATTATATAACTATAATTATATATACATAATTATACATATAATAACCGTATACCATTGATACATATATATATATACATATATATATACATAATATATATATACACATATAATATATACACATATAATATATACATATAATATATATATATATATATTATATACATAATATATATATACATATATATATATTATGTGTATATATTATGTATATATATATATATGTATAGGTATACGGTATGCGTATGAGTATACGTGTAGAACTATATGATTTGTATGTATTATAATTGTAAAATATATTATATATATATATAGCCCAAACATGGCTGTTCACTGAAACTGTTCGATCAAGCAGGCAATCGATACCCGTGGACACCATTGGCAACAAGGTACAAAAACCCTCCATCCAACACTAGAACATTGGGTCGATTGGGTTCTCCAGCCATATCGCCAATGCAGTCACCACCGCAACCATCAGGGCGGAATGGGCTGCCACCGTAGCAAATGCGAATCTGGGCCAAACAGATAGGATCACACGGGTTTGTTACTTTGGTAAACATGATAGTGTGTCAGAACATGTCAGAACCATCTGTCATTAGGAACCTTCATTTTGAATTTATCCGTTGATCTTCACTGTCAAGTTCCCAAACGCGCGTTCCATTTGGTTATACGAAACCGGTCGCTTTGTATGTGCACTCTCTTCGGATATGTTGGGCATCGAACGAACTTGTGCATTTCATGATATTTCATGCAAGCACTTCCAGATTTATCACCTCTGCTTTGGCCAGGATACAAAATCAAGGAGATTCATGGTGTAGTCATAGGATGTCACAGGCCCCTTTACCACAGGTGAGGTTCTGTAGCCATCTGTAGCCATTAAGAGAATGATGGGAACCTGCGTCTTCAATGCAGAGTTGTTTGATTGCCAGCTCACCATAGGCCTCTTCACCCTTTTTGATGGGCGAACCCGCAATCACCTGGGAGTAGTTTCAGAAGTAGTTTCAACATATTTGAAGAAGGAACAATGACAATAGAAACATTCCGACACATGCAACACATGCCAAGCTGGACCTCTGCGCGCAAGTCTCTGAGCATCTCTTAGCACTGGTTGGAAATTCACATTCTTTCGGCCCCGTTATAGTTGTAGGGCATTGTAGGGTATGTGCTTTGAAGATCTTTCAAGCGTGTGTACGTACCGTGTTGTTGCCAAATTAGATCATTTTGCACTGGCAACTTCATTCAGGTGAAAGAAATGGTCAAACTTGAAACAAAAAGATCAAAAAGAAAATTGACAAAGGAGCCTAAAGGGGGTTCAAAGGAGCCTAGGAGATTCCTAGGAGATTCCCAGGAGATTCCTAGGAGATTCCTAGGAGATTCCTAGGAGATTCCTAGGAAATCCTAGGAGAGTGTCTTCAAAGTGTCTTCGCATCTCTTTGCACCGGCCACCTTGAAGACGGCGTCCACATAGCCTTCCAAATTCCATCGCACTTTCATGGTATGCAGCCTCAGAAACATTCAGAAACCCAAGGATTGAAAAAGCCAATAGCTACCAATAGCTACTATAGTAACTTTAGTAGCCTCGTGAAGGCAAACAGAATCACCAGAAGGCCAATTCAAGTAATTGCCAAAGAGAATTGTTGTGGTAAAGCTCCTGACTCAATGGAGAACTTGTTTGCAAATTCCATGGATCCATCATGATCCATCTCTCATTCCTCCTGTAGAGGCAAACGTTCCATATATATTCCATGGGAATGCATAAACCATCGTAAACATTCGTAAACCGTCCCCACGTTCTCCGAGGTGCGCGTGAGCATCATGGTTAAAAAGGTCAATGCCCGGCCTTGGTCAGACTACAACTCGCAAAAGAATCCACGGCGCTTTCAGGAATTTTCGGCCGTTTATGTGCCAAGCCCCAGTCACCCACTGCTCTGCAAAATCAAAAGTAACCTTACTTAGATTGAACCTTCAACAGGTTAACGGAAAGACTGATTTCATGCCGGGATGGTTCAAGGTATTGTAATGAAAGACCTTAGGGACAACCTGTTCTGCATGGACATTGTACGACCAAGTCTGCAAAACCTTCTCTGAGCTCGGCGCAGCAGAAGGCGCAATAGGCCATCGATAGGAGACACAAGCGAAAAAGCACCTGGGTTGCCGCAGCAGGACAGCTACAGTAAATAGATGCCAGTGCAGCTAGACGTGCATATCTCGCAGTGGGCTGGGTGAGCCTTCATGCTTCAAGAAAAAAGCATGCTCTCTCCGCGCCATGTTTCCTCAAGCCCAGGCTTTTCCTCCCGACATATCCCAAGCATTCCCAAGGGCGTCCGCACGCTGGGCAACTGTGCAAAGGGCCCACTTCACCGAGTCTGTCTCCAAAGATGACCT